AATATTCCGGTAAACGAAATATTCGCCTCCGATAATCAAGTTAGTGATCGGAACGGAAAAGGTTAGAGAGAGAAAGTAGAGAGAAGTTGGAGCTATTTAATGCTGTGTTGTTTGTAAATGTCTTAATCCATCCCTCCCATCATAAATGATTGGGGTATTTATAGGGGTGGGACTCGTGCCCCTTTCTAGGGTTTGTACCCTAGATCTACGTGACGTGATTGGCTGCGCAATAAGCAGATGCCACGTGTTACTTTGGGGGCGCCGCTTTGCGGCTTTCATTGATATCTCTCGGGATTTGGGCCCTGACGTTGTGCTGATAAAAAAGGAACATATGCCCTAAACACGTGGCATCTTCTCGTGATGACACGTGTCACCCTCTTACTGGGCCGCGTGTCGCTACGAGATTGGCCTGAAAACCTTGGGTGCTCTTGAGATGAATGTTTAGCATCTTCCTGTGGTGACACGTGTCACCCTATAACTGGGCCACGTGTCACTACGGGATTGGTCCACGTATACGAGGTATTTTTTCCCTCAACAGATTCAACTTCTTATAATTGTTGGGTTCCACGTCAGCTACAAACAGGCTATAATAGGTGCATTAACTTGTTGGGACCAATAAAAAAGATCGGGGTATAAAGTTGGGATTGTTTAAAAATAATTAATAGTTGGGATTATTTTGAGCGAATCAAACAAAATTGAGATTATTCCTGTCAATTTTTCCTTAAAATTAAATATAAATAACGATTTCAGTTATGGAATTAATGCATTACCTCGAAGCATCGCTCGAGCCTTAAAACTAGTTCAACTATTAAAAGTCACCCCCACTATTACTTTTTTTTACCAAATAGAGCCTTAGTTTAATTTTGCATGGTTAATATTTTTATTTTTGTTTTTATTTATTTTTTATAAAACCCACAAAGGGGAAAGCTCAATTACTTAAATCAGAAATAGCAAGTTCAAGCACCTGAGGTAGAATTACATCATGCCACATTCTTTGGTCAATCACCCATGGTTAACAGTGAACCAAATAGTGAGCAATTTTATTCCATCATATCCTCTTCTCACAAAAGACCACTTAACATAATTAAAACTACCGCTAAGAGCTAAGATATCATCTACAACCAAATTAAAAGATCCAGACCCTGACAACTCATCTTGCAAAGCTTGAATAACTACCAAACAATCACTTTTCTATAACCGCTGCACACCATGATCATTCGCCAACCTCAACCCTGCAAGAACAGCCATAGCCTCCGCAATATTTGGCTCCTAAGTGATTGGGTAGTCGAACACGCACTAACAACCCCATTATCATTCCTTAGCACTGCACCCAAACCACCCCCCAAGCCATGCATACTACCCGCATCAACATTAACTTTAAGGTACTAGCAGCAGGGGGTAGCCACGCATCAGACCCAGACAACACAACATAATTCGCCTTATTTGACAGCCCACTAAGCTCTTCAATCACCTCACCACAAGTTTTCATCGCATAATTGGTAGAAGGAATAATCGGTCGTTGGACAATCACCCTAAAACCAAACAATATTTCTACCTAAACCAACCTAAGACAAGTCTAGGGTAAGTAGAGGATCGTATCCACAGGAAATGGGTAAGTACACCGAGAGTATGAAACGGTTGCAATCTAGTTCGGTCACAAATTGGGGGATTAGATTAGGTAACTACTATGGAGACAAACACTAGGGGGAAATGGGGATCGACTCCAACCAAACCAACGAATCAAAACAATAAGCAAGCATGAACACAAATTGGGTGATAGAGAGGGCACTCAACATTGCCTTCTTTCGAAGCCACAACACTAAGCATTCCTAAACCAAACTCAACTAACAAGATAGGCCAACCAAGTCTTAACAATGAGAAGTAGACTACTAACTCGGGTTTGTCTTTTGATCGGTCCAAGAAATCATTAAGGCACAAGCAATTGGGATTTCTCACCTAATTGTTGCAACTAATACTACCACATCATTCAAACAAGGAACCATAATCAAGAGGAATTTAGCATAATCATATAAGAAAAGGCTCACAACTAGACTCCATCTCTCAATGCAAGCATAAAAGTGAATACATGAGCAATAAGTGGCCATCCAATTACACATGCAATTAACCAATTCTTTAACAATCAATCATCAACCCAAAATGAACATGCAAGCACAAACATCAATCAACCCATGGCTTGGTTGGGTCTTCGCCCAACCCCTAGCTAATTAACTACTCACTAAACATGGTGAAGGACATCAAAACAACAAGTTCCAATTCAAACATTAAATTAACAAGTTGAGAGGAGTAGTAGGAATAAGGTAGATTGGACATGCAACAACAATTAAGCAAGATCAAGAGAGGAATTTAACAATTCAAAGTAAATAAAAACTGAAATTAAAGAGTAAAATATAGAGGAAAGAGATTACTTAAAATGCTTCAAAGTTGAGAAATTGTTGAATTCAAGAGAACAATCTTCAATTAATCTACTACAATGATTGAGTTTGAGAAGATCTAAGCTAATTAATGAGGGTTGAGAAAAACTAAGGGCCTAAGAGAACTAAAAGGGAAAGAAGATGCCAAAATCTGAAGTCAAGCGTCCTATTTATATGCCCAGAAATTACATCGTAAAATCCGTCAAAATCGGGCTTCAGAACAGGAGGGCCCGCTCCAGTAAGTAGGAGCGCCCGCTCTTGGGCTCTCTGCATGCCCTCTCCTCTTGCAGCAGTTTGGGGCAGAATGTAGGAAAACAGGGAGGAGCGCCTGCTCCTTGAAGGCTGCACGCCCGCTCCTCTATTTGCAGGGGGAGGCAGATTGCGGTGCTGGGATGAGGAGCGGCCGCTCCTCTAAGGGTGCACGCCCACTCTTTCCTGATAATGCTCCCTCGAGAAAGTCTTCATGCTCATGCTACTTAACCATAATCTCATTGCACCTACAAACACGAGCACACACATAAACAGAAACGGGGAAGCCAAAAGATGCAAGTGTGTACAAAAAGAGTTAGAAAAAGGGATTGAAGTGGGGAAAGAGTACAAAATCGTGTTTAAAATGCCATGATAAGTGGACAAATAAAACACTTATCAATAATTCACTATATTCTACAGCATAGGTTGAAGACCTTCCATCATATACGAGTTCTTGCCACTCCAAATTGCCCAACATAGAGTAACAATAACAGCAGTCTCTACCTCATCAAACTCAGCAAAGCCCCCTCCCACCAATCAATAATGTTGTTCGTCCTAGACTTGACCACATGAGCAAAATTTTACTCCTCTTCCAGACCTCTTTAGCAAGCTTACAGTCCCTGAGTGCGTGGATAGTAGTTTCATAATCCCGAAGACAAATGGTACAATCTGGATCATACTCCTTTACTCGATACTGTATATTATGCCTAGTTGGAAGCGCATTCTCCTGAGCCCTCTAGACAAAGATTTTAATTTGACCCGAAGAAGGACTTGAAACTTCCAAAGTCTTTTCCAGATAGTACGAGCATCAGACGATGCAGCCTCCTCGATATTCCAATTATATCAAAAATCAAACGGTAGGATGATCTTACAGAGTACACACCATTCTTTTCTAGATCCCAACACAAGCTGTCATCAGGATTACTGAGTATTCTGTCTCATTTAGATGGCAAGAAAAATTGACGAAGCTTATCCACATTCCAACAAACAGCCGAAGGGCTAGAAGAAATAAACTCACTCACCTTCATATTAGCAAGAACATCACCACGCACGGAGATAACCATATGTGATTGAGTATTAGGCATCCATGGGTCATATCATACTCGAATTGACACCACATTTCCAACCCTCCACCTCATGCCTAATCTAACCACCCACCTAGCCTATGCAATTCCCCTCTAGGTATAACTCGGATTAGCCCCTATATCCGCCTCCATGAAAGTAGAGTTTGGATAGTATCGACTCTTCAAAATCTGCTCCACTAAGGTACCTGGTTGCATCATTAATCTCCAAGCCTAGCTACTTACCCAAGAGAGCCCAGTTAAACAACTTGAAGTCTCATAAACCTAAATCTCTTTTTTCTTTGGTCGACAAAGTTTCTTCCACGCAAGCCAATGAATCTTTCTTTTCCCTTGTTTTTGATCCCACCAAAATTGCACCACAAGAGATCTTAACTCCTCATAAAAAGAAGATGGGAACTTAAACACACTCATCGCATAGGTAGGGAGAAATTGGACCACCGCCCTTATCATAACCTCCGATCCCTACCCGCCTTAGACAGTACCATCCCTTTTCATCCTTGAAGTTTCTTCCACAACTTCTCTTTCACACCTTTTGTTATCACTTTTTTTAAATGGTTAGCATTTGTTTAACAATCATCAACAAAAAGGCTAAGATTATGGATTAAGGACCAATTTAATACCCAAAAAATGTTGTATACATATAAAAGTATATATACATATACATATATATACACGAGATTAAATCAAATTAATATATTAATTGTATATAATATGAATTAAAAATTGTGAAATGGAGGAACTCTACGCCAATGATTACTCTTTCCTACATGTTAATTACAATTGTTAATCAATATGGTTAACTTTCATGTAAAATATTGTGCCGAAATTAGATCTTACTGTAAGATTTTGAAATACCTAAGAAACTTTTTTTTTACTAAGCACTTGCTATTGTCATTGATATAAGAAATGTAATCATTGATAAGACAACCTCATCATGATGGTCGATTTTTCATCAAAAGATAAGAAAGGATGAACCCTATGAAGCAAACTCATCCCCAATTGAATCAATCATTTGTTCAATTTGCACTTTCTTTTTTCCTTTGAAAAAAAAAAATATTAATAATGAGAAAAATATCCCAACCATCAACCTTCTTTCCATCACATCAACTCTCCCCTTAAAAAAAAAAAAAGAAAAAAAAAAAGAAAAAGAAAATTCCGCTCCGAGATTTCCTAAGCTTCACGTTCGAATAGAAGGATCTAGAAACCCTAATACTTTACCCTATAAAACTAACTGACTCTCCATTCTTATTCCGCCTCCTACTCCTTAAACCCTAACTTCTTATTTTCTTTAGTTTCTCTCTCTTCAGTTCAAATTCGATCTCGAGGTCAGAGAAATCTCATCAATGGCGGAAGCTGAGACGTTTGCCTTCCAAGCTGAAATCAACCAGCTTCTTAGTCTCATCATCAACACTTTCTACAGTAACAAGGAGATCTTTCTTCGTGAGCTTATCAGTAACTCTTCCGATGTATGATTCCATTTTCTTGCTCTTTCTGTAGATTTAATTGTTAATTTCACGGTTTTTTGATGTGCGATTCATACTATATGTTGTTGATTCTGGACTGTAGTGTTTTTCGATTTTGAATTAGGTTTTGATGTTGTTGTATGATGCTGTTTTTGTGTTTTTGGAGTTGAATTTTCGCTTTTCATTTTGCTTTTATGCGTTTATATTGCGAGAAATGGTTTATTTTGTGAATGTTTGATCTCATGTAATATTGATCTAGATCACTGCAATCGAGTAATTGATATCTGATTTTATATTAATTTATTGATTTATGATGCATTTTGTTCGATCCGTGAATGTGTTGATGTAATTAGGTGGTTGCGGCAACAGCCACAATTAGAATTTAGTGATTGAATTGATTTAAATTGTATAAATTAAGAAATTGCAAACAGAATTAGTATCTAAATTCAATTGTAGTATGACCTAAGATTTGAATTCATTGTATCAGTGAAGATTTAGAGTACAGTGTTATAGCTTGATTTAGATTTTCCGAGGCACGATGATATTTGAATACATCGTCTGATATGATCATGATTTAATGCCTTTTAATGTTGTTCTGACTGTGTTTGCTATTCTGATTGCCTTTAATTGTTGTTTTGATTGTATTTTGTCAAAATTCATTAGTGCAGTTCATGTTATATGATTGACTGGAGCTTTCTTATATGACAGCATGTTTTGGTTTATTGTTATGTAGATCTCTGCATATTGTTTTGTAATTCTAAATTGTGAAAAATTTATGTATAACCTCCAATTATCTATCGGAAACTTAAATGTTATTACTCCAATTGTCTTTTTTCTTGTATCGATAGCTTATTCAATCACACACTAAGTATTGTTCTGGTATGTTTTGTAAATCGCCTATAATTGTGAGTGATGATTAATTGTTTTTGCGTGGTTGAGAATACTTTTATTCTAGCTGTCTGAGTGAAGTTCAACTTTTGATTTTTGCAGCATTTTGAGTGATTGTGTTTTAACAACTTGTTTATTAAATTGGTCCTGTCCTGTTTAGTTTTTGTCCAAATTGTGCACTATAGGTGCTGAATATAAATCTAATGATTTTCTTACCGTCTATTTAGGCTTTGGATAAGATCCGTTTTGAGAGCTTGACAGACAAAAGTAAGCTCGATGGACAGCCAGAACTCTTTATTCACATCGTGCCAGACAAGGCTAACAACTCCCTGTCAATCATTGACAGTGGTATTGGAATGACCAAGGCTGGTGAGTTTTAGTTAATCCTATTTGTTACTTGTATAATTATGCTGTGGTTTGTGTTAATTCTATTAGTTTGTGTTAATTCTATTAGTTTGTGTGTTTGACTTACTGTTGTACTGATTGTGAATTTTTGTCTGTAGATTTGGTGAACAACCTGGGTACTATTGCCAGGTCTGGAACCAAGGAGTTCATGGAAGCTTTGGCAGCTGGAGCTGATGTGAGTATGATTGGTCAGTTTGGTGTTGGGTTCTACTCTGCATACCTTGTTGCCGAGAAGGTTATTGTCACAACAAAGCACAATGATGATGAACAGTATGTGTGGGAGTCCCAAGCTGGTGGTTCCTTCACTGTGACCAGGGACACAACTGGTGAGCCCCTTGGCAGGGGTACTAAAATCACTCTCTACCTTAAGGAGGACCAACAAGAGTACCTTGAAGAGCGTCGCCTCAAGGATCTAATCAAGAAGCACTCTGAGTTCATCAGCTATCCCATTTCTCTCTGGATTGAGAAGACCATTGAGAAGGAGATTTCTGATGACGAGGATGAAGAGGAGAAGAAAGATGAGGAAGGTAAAGTAGAGGATGTTGATGAGGAAAAAGAGAAGGAAGAGAAGAAGAAAAAGAAGATCAAGGAGGTCTCCCATGAATGGTCAGTTGTTAACAAGCAAAAGCCCATCTGGATGAGGAAGCCAGAGGAGATTACAAAGGAGGAGTACGCTGCTTTTTACAAGAGCCTTACCAATGACTGGGAAGAGCACTTGGCAGTGAAGCACTTCTCTGTTGAGGGTCAGCTAGAATTCAAGGCTGTCCTCTTTGTTCCCAAGAGAGCACCCTTTGATCTCTTTGACACAAAGAAGAAGCCAAACAACATCAAGCTCTATGTTCGCCGTGTCTTCATCATGGACAACTGTGAAGATTTGATCCCTGAGTACCTTAGCTTTGTGAAGGGTATTGTTGATTCCGAGGATCTTCCTCTTAACATCTCCAGGGAGATGTTACAGCAGAACAAGATCTTGAAGGTCATCAGGAAGAATCTTGTCAAGAAGTGTGTTGAGCTATTCTTTGAGATTGCTGAGAACAAGGAAGACTACAACAAGTTCTACGAGGCCTTCTCCAAGAACTTGAAACTTGGTATCCACGAGGACTCAACCAACAGAACTAAGTTTGCTGAGTTGCTGAGATACCACTCAACCAAGAGTGGTGAGGAGATGACCAGCCTTAAGGACTATGTTACCAGAATGAAGGAGGGCCAGAATGAGATTTACTACATCACTGGTGAGAGCAAGAAGGCTGTTGAGAACTCTCCCTTCCTTGAGAAGCTGAAGAAGAAGGGCTATGAAGTCCTTTACATGGTTGATGCTATTGACGAGTATGCAGTTGGTCAGCTTAAGGAGTTTGAGGGAAAGAAGTTGGTCTCTGCCACCAAGGAGGGTCTTAAGCTCGATGAGAGCGAGGATGAGAAGAAGAAAAGTGAGGAACAAAAGGAGAAGTTTGAGGGCCTGTGCAAGGTCATCAAAGATGTTCTTGGAGACAAGGTTGAGAAGGTTATCGTCTCTGACCGTGTTGTTGACTCTCCCTGCTGTTTGGTCACTGGTGAGTACGGCTGGTCTGCTAACATGGAGAGGATCATGAAGGCCCAAGCACTTAGGGACTCTAGCGTTGCTGGTTATATGTCTTCCAAGAAGACCATGGAGATCAACCCTGAGAACCCAATCATGGAAGAGCTCAGGAAGAGGGCTGATGCTGACAAAAACGACAAGTCTGTTAAGGACTTGGTTCTCCTCCTATTCGAGACTGCCTTGTTGACATCTGGGTTCAGCCTTGACGAGCCAAACACCTTCGGGAACCGCATCCACAGAATGCTGAAGCTTGGTCTGAGCATTGATGATGATGCTGGAGAAGCTGATGTTGACATGCCAGCACTTGAGGAAGTCGATACTGAAGGATCCAAGATGGAGGAAGTCGACTAAGCTTGATGGTTTCTAGCTTTATTTGATTTACTTGGGTAGTAGCAGTAGTTATTAGTTTTCGTTCCGTCTTTTTAATACTTTTATTATCATTTTGCCCCTGCTTAATGTGAGTAGTCTCTTTTGAGTTTTGAACTGTGGGAATTTTTTTTGGGTGGTAGCTGGCTGCCATGTTTTGCTTGGGGCCTTTTGTTTAGATTTGAACGGAAGACAAGTGATTAGCACAGTTAAATGAATCTATATATTTTGCGTAAATCCGTGTTTGCATTTCCTCTAATTATTTCTACAGCTTTTTTCTGTTAATTGAACTGAGAATGTGATAACTTTGTATTTTTGATGACTTGGGCAGGTGAAATGTTGAGAGAAATCAGCAGTATGTTGGACCTGTTTTTATAGAGGTCATTAGATATATACAAAGTAGTTCATTAGTGTGCTTAATTATTTGTATGCTTTTGTTAAGCAGAAATCTTGTTGAGATTTATACTTCCGTGGTTAAGCAGAAAGTCTTACAGCTCTGACTGTGGAAACTAAGTGCAGATTTACCCAAGTCTTGCTATCCTGGATGATAATGTGTAAACTTGGTTGTCTTTGCTTTGATCTCAGAACTTGTCAAATGGAAGACAAGTTATTAGCACAGTAATATGAATGTGAGCATTTTGCGTAAATCTGTGTTTGCCTTCTCTACTCATCTTTACAGTCTTACAGAAACTTCTGTTACTTGAACAGGGAATATGTATGAAATAAGATAGCAAGTAAGTGTAGATCAACGACACCTGAATCTGTTACAATTAATTTGGGGTTAAGTTGGACTGGTAGACCAATGATGCCAAATCTCAAGGGGTACATGGAATGGGACTTTTGGTGAAAATCAAGTGAATAATTTTGGATGACGAATAAGGAAAATGCAATTAGACCAAATGCAAAACTACTGGCTTAACCACATTCCCTCTAAATACTTTGATACTTTGTATTATGAATGTTATTTTGTAATGGATCATGATAAAAAATGGTACCTATCAAATGCGAGTATGGTTCTTATCTTATCGTTGCCGGAGTCAAAAGTAGTAGGGGTTATTAGTATGATTATTATCCAATGGAAAATGCCAAGGGTGAGGCGGATCTAGAATTATTAACTTGGTGGAGAACTACTAATTTGGGGTCTTAAATTTTTTGTAAATAATACGAAGTCTTTTGGAAAAATGCTGGGGCATATGTCACTTATAAGAAACACACTATCCATTCACAGAACTTGAATTCACAACGATCAGATTAAGAAGAGTTTACAGCATAACATATCTTCGAATGATTACATGTTTTAGACAATTACATGTAGAATGCATTTGTCTATCACTGGAGTATGTATTACATGTCTTAAATAGGCTTTGCAATTTATTTGTTCTTCAATCCATTCATGCTATGGTTATACAACTACTATAAAGCAAGGTATTCATGGTTGGCAGCTCCATCAGACCATCAACCTGCATGAACACAATACAGAGCATAAGAATCTGTTGACAGATAAGATCCATCTTCTGCACAATATAAGACAGCCACATCTTAATTAAGGCAACAAAATTATTGAATAGACTACAATTTAAATTTGGGTTTTAGCTTATAAAACTAACAAGAATCCTAAGCAGCTTCATTATAACTTGCAACGAATTTTAAACTCATTATCTCTGTTTGAGATAATCTGATGGGTAATGATCCAAATTCGTAACAGCCATGTACTAATTGTTCCAATTGTCCCAAAGAAATCCCTCATACTTATTTTTGCACCCGTCTTGGCCTTCCTTTTCCATTGTCTCATCTCCCACTTATCGACAATTCCATCCCAGCTCTTTCCCTTGCAGCTGACAAGAACTATATACATATATTCCTGTTATGTAACGGATTGTTGGTTTTCATCACAGAATACTCAAGTCACACTGTCGATACTAGCCCACAGCCTAAGACAAGTCTTGATAACGAGTTAACGACTCATATTACAAGGCATACAGTCAGAGTATGCAATCCTATCCTGGGTAGGGAAATCAAAATTGGAGGCTTGGAGGGCATCGCCACCAGTGATGATGAAAATGATAATGGATTAGAAAGAAACAAAGTCGTAAAGACGTAAACAGAATAAGAAAATCAGGAAGATCTGATCATTGATGATGATCAGGCCCGTTTCTGAGATTTAGGTGGCCTAGGGCGAACATATAATTTGGGGTCCTAACTAACAAGTACTCCATATTATTTAAAATAATTAAACTTTAAGGGGCAAAAAAAAAGCCCTACAAGTGGTACTTTTTCTTATGATTAACAAACAATCTTATAATTTCTCAAAAAAAGAAAATAAATAAATAAAATAAACGATCTCATAAAACATTTCATATACATATATTGAAGTATAAAAGTCTAAATGTTCATACTAAACAATTTCTACTAGCATTTTTAGAAGTAAAGTCAATAATAGTTAACTAAAACAACCAATGTTCTTACTGCTTACTTCGTATAATATACTTAGAGCTGAAGCATTAAAAAAATATGCTCTTAATTTGTTACCTATTCTTTCACCAACTAATAACTTTACAAAGGTATGTCTTCACACAAGTGCATCCCATCAACTGAAAACGGGCTTTACAATTTCATATGAAATCTAAGGATTATCTAACAATCTAACACAAAGGGACTGAAAAACTTTTACCCAAGATTATTGAACGAAACCAATCAAACAAATCCAAATTCAGAAAACATATGCATGAAAATATAAGAAGAAAAAAGACAAAAAAATGGCTCATTGAAATTGAAGAGATATATGATCGTTTATATTTTCATCATTAGTTAAGTAATTTGAGTTAATTAAGATTTTATTTTGAAAGGATTTAATGTAGGTTTGGAAAGACTATAAGAGGTAATTGAATTTTTGAAACAGAACTAGCAAAAAAAGGGGATTGATTGAATGATTTTTTTTTATTTTTTTTGAGGTGTAAATTAAATACAGTTTGGCAACTGAATAATTAGTGCGAAAAATTAGGGGGAAGAAAACCATAACCGTTTGACTTCTCTTGATAACAGACATCTTATAGTTTTTTGGTTTTTTTAGGGGCCTTAAGTATAACTAAATTTGGGTTTTTCAACATTGGGCCCAGGGCGGTTGCCCCACCTGCCCTGCCTTAGATACGGGCCTGATGATGATAACCAAGAGTACAAGAAGAAATTTTTTTACTGTTAGTCTTATGAAGAGCCATTAGGACGAAAAGAAAAGTGATGCATTTAAATTAAAACTCTTTTTAAAAAAAGTGATGTATGTAATAAAAAAATGGAGGAATTAGGACCTGTTCTAATAGACTGAAATCAGTTGAGCTGAACTGAAAATAAACGTATGAGAACAAACCCTTAGTAAGGTTATAATAGTAAAATTGATTAATTTTTTATGTAAAAATACATTTGCAAGTCAAAGAAAATTGGCTAGTTTTTTTTTTTTTTTTTTTTTTTTTTTTTTTTTTTTTTTAATCATGTAAAATTACATTTGCGAGTCAAAGAAGTACAGAGCAAAACATCGTACTAATAAATCAGTTCATCGTCATTTCATTGCTATTAGAGCTTCCACAAGACCAACAACAATTTAAAGGATCATATTCTTCAAAAGTATATTTTAAATACGTAGTATATACAACTAATACAAGGCAGAAGGCAGAACAAATGACCAAACCAGTGTTCTCCCCCAAACCTCCACAAATTCCCTTCAAAGTGTGAAGAGTGAAAGGAGTGTCCTTTCAAGCTAAGCCTCTCTATCTCCCGCTCCCCAACCCACACACACACACACATACACACACACACACACAATTGACAAAGGTTGGGAGAGACACCGATGCTAACAGAACTAAGGTTTCAACTAGTTACGAGCACAACAAAGGATGAGCAGCATAAATGACAAGAAATACAAGTAAGTACAAGGATTGTTTCACATTTGCTACTACCTAAAACACCTAGCTTTAGATTTGCTACCGTTTAATTTTTTTTTTTTTTTACTTTGCTACCGCCTAAATTAGAGTTTGTTAGATATCACTACCACTTAACGGAATCCGTTAGGATTTCCGTTAAGTTTCTTAAGTTTATTAAAAAAAAAAAAAAAAAAACCCAGCCACCCCACTGCCACCGACCCCCATCCCCTCAACTGCCAGTCTGCCACCCTCCCCCCTGCCGGCGGCCGGCGCCAAAAGATTCGGCTGGCGGCGACCTCACCCCCTCCCTTTTCCCCACCCACTAAGCCAACCCCCCTCCCTATCCCTCACCCACTAAGCCAACCCCACCACCCACGAAGCCGTCCCCCACCGAAATCAGCCCCCCTCCCCGTTACCCCACCGGAATCGAACCCTAAACCCGAAACCACCCCTAACCCTAAACCTGAAGCCACCCAAATGAATTGAGGGTTTGCGAATTAAGGGTTTGCGAATTTGGTGGTTTAGGGTTTGTGAATCGGGGGTTTACGAATGTGGTGGCTGTGGTGGTGTTGCAGGCTTCTACGAAATGGTGGCTGCAAATTGAGGAGGGATTGCGAAATTGGTGGCGGAGCTGGTGTTGTGGGTGGGTGCGAATTGGTGGCTGCTGGAGGTAACGGGGAGGGGGGCTGAATTTGGTGGTGGTTGGCTTCGGTGGGTGGGGGAAAGGGAGTGGGGGTTGGCTTCGTGGTGGGGGAAAGGGAGGGGGTTAGCTTCGTGGGTGGGGGAAAGGGAGGTGGGGTCGCCGGCGTCGGCCGTTGTTTTGGGCATCGGCCGCAGGCAAGGGGGAGGGGTGGCAGTTGAGGGGAGGGGGTGGTAGTGGGGTGGCTGGACGGTGGTTCGGCCCCACTGACGGAAATTGTAACGGTGTAAGGCATGGGGTAGTAATTTCTAACAAACTCTGTTTAGGGTGGTAGCAAAGTTAAATTTTTTTTTTAAAACGGTAGCAAATCTGAAGTGAGGTGTTTTAGGTGGTAGCAAATGTGAAAAAAATCCTAAGTACAATCTATAGAGTGTGATATGGTGTATCTTAAATTCCAACTAGAGCTGTTCATGGACGGGTCAGCCCGCTAAACCCGCCCAACCCGGCCTGCAAAATAAGCGGGCTTGGACAACCATTTTGAAAAAAATTGTTAATTTGGGCGGGCTAGGCCCGGCCCGTTAATATAAATGGGCGAACACGGACAAGACAATATGTACCGTGGGCTAGCCCGCCCGACCCATTTATTTTAAAAAAAGTAATAGTTTAATGATTTTTTAGTTAGTTGA